ATTTTTCATTTATGATATTAAATTTAAAATATGTAAAATCATTTTATTTAATATTATTATTTTAATATGTCTGGTGAAATATTTTTAAATAAATAAATATATATATATATATATATATATATATATATATATATATATATATATAATAAATTAAGAAAATAAGTTAACTTAAAGAAAGTAATTTGTAAAATGAATAGGCGACCAAACGCCTAAGTAATGTACGCTTTTGTAGCTATTGATGAATGGATCTGGCAGAAAGGCAACAAGAGGACCCCACCATTACGAGTCGGCATTTTCAGATGTCACAATAATATTCTACAAAGACACCATGTGGTTGCTTCGTATATACATTTACTTCATTTTCATTACGTTTATACAAATTCAAATTATATTTAAATTATATATTATAAAATTTGTTTCTTTTTTATTAATTTATATTAAAATTCAAATTAAATTTAAATTATGTATTGTACAATATATTTGGACTGATATTCTCAATAAGGCCAAATACATACGCAGGTTCCTAAAGTTGTTCGCGTTTTTCCCCCCAAGTACCTTAACTAACCAAGATTCCTATTAAATCCTTTAACCCCCTATAATTTGATCCTTTTAAATATTCTTGGCTGATGTGGAGCCAAACGTGATCTCGCGTCCTTTAAGCGCGTGCAGACTCTTTAAAAGCGCAGATGTGGATCTTGAACCACCCACTAACGATCTTCTTCCCCCTTTTAACCCTAATTTCTCCCATTCTTCCATTATTTCTCCTCTTTTGTTTCTCTTCATCATTATTTATCTTCTTTACCTCATTATATTATATCTCTTTTTCATTAATTTTTTCTTAATCATCAAGTTTCAATGTCGAATTTATCTTCTTCATCGATTTCTTCTTCTTCAACTGCGAAGGTACTATGTCAACTCGAAAATCGCGAATGAACTCCAAAATCGTCTGCAATCTTCGATGATTCCTTCAACAAAACACTCAAAATCACTTTAAAATCTAAGAATTTCAGTTGTAAAAGTCATTGAAAGGGAGAGATTTTTAGGATTTTCTCGTTTAGACACGGGTTAAAAGTGATTTGGGGGGAAATTGATTTTTAGGTTTGATGACTTAATATGTGGCACTGACGTGTAAATGGGTTGGAGTGTATTGGTCAAAATTTCCACGTGGGGAAGGTTCATCTCACGCGCCTAATTACCAAAAATAATTTATTGAAATTTGGCTCCACAACAGCCAAGAATATTTAAAAGGATCAAATTGTAGGGGGTTAAAGGATTTAATAGGAATCTTGATTAGTTGAGGTACCTAGGGGAAAAGCACGAACAACTTTAGGGACCTGCATATGTATTTGTCCCTCTCAATAATTTTTTTTTATATTTATAATTTGAACTTGAAATTTATAATTACGAGTAAAATTGTGAAATAATAGGATCAGTACACCACAAATCTATTTTACTTCACTTCCATGAAATATATCACTATTTGTATGTATTTTGCACATAATATAATTTACATTTGAGCTCTGATTTAGAGTGTCTTCGTGAATTCGACACTTCAACTAAAATATGAATATTGATATTTAAGTTTTAATTATTGTTAAATATGTATTTTTAGCGGTAATTGTCACTTTTTATGTATGTGCCTAAAGTCTTTAGCGATATTGATTTTAATAACACTTATCTAAAGTTGATAAAGATTTTAATGTTCTTTATTAATGTCAGTATTTAATGTCATTAAAAGTTATTTTTATTATAGCGTGAGTGTCTATTATACATGAGGGCTAATTAAAAGGTTACATATCTTTGAAACCAATATTTTAAAATCATCAGGAGATATATGATACTATCACGTCAATTACTTTTTGTTTATTTTGTTTAAATTTATGTCCAATGCTTATATAGAATTTGCAGGTAAATTATATATATCCATGTACTCAACTTTATTAATAATGTTAATATTGTGTAATAAAAGTTGAACTTTATTAATAATGTTAATATTGTGTAACAAAAGTTTGTATTGGGTGCGATAATTAAAGTTGCTTTTGTAACACTTTGAAAATTTCTAAGTTAAGATCTGAACCATTCTTTATTGGTGTATAAGGTCGTATCAAGTGATTTTTTAATTGTTCTTAGGTGTTAAGGTCAATTCTTCAATGTGAGAATGAATTTTGATATAAATTAAGGTCACAAGCGTCCCTAGCACAAACTTAAGTTGAAAGCTCCCATATTGATTAAGTTTTGATATAAAATTTCACTTAGGTCAACTTTAAACGATCATATCTTTCAACACATATAATGAATTATGTTTCCCATGACCTATCAAATTAATTGTCTATAAATCATCTTTCCGATGTCAACAAGCTTGCCCTGGTTCAAGTTTGAAGTAAAAACAGTACAAGAAAAAGGGTGCATTACCTAGGGATTTTCCTAGAGATTAGTATGAAAATTTGTAGGAAGATAATTTTCCTGGGGATTTTCCTAAAGATTAGTATGAAAATTTGCAGGAAGATAATTTTCCTAGGGATTTTCATACTAAACCACACGAAAATTCCCATGTAATTCACATTTTTCTTGTAGTGATATAAAATAATACCCACTTTCGTGAAATCATGTCAGAAAGTCGAAATTCTACAGATGACAACTACATACAGTGGAATGTTCCACGAACCCTAGAGCTATCCGTGAAGAATTGTTGCAATTTTTTTCAGCAACTTCCTGATTTTTAACTTTATTTTAAGTCATTTTTAATGTTTAATTAACTGAGTATATCATTCAACTAACTAGTTTTTCTTTCAAAATCATTAATCTAAACATTCAAGTATCTAGAATTCTCTCAAACTCACCTAGGGTTCAAGAACCCTAAAACTTTCATATTAAAAATTTAATACAAAGGGAAGTTTTCCATCCAAGACTTTCTTAAGTTCCTTCACTCTAAGACATCATAAAAGAGTTTCTTCTCGATTTCAGATCAAGCCCAAGATTTCAAGTTTAAAGATTTCCTCCGAGAAAGCTAATGTTCTGCTTGTCTCCACCAAAGTTTCTAGTCTACAAGCTTCATAATCAGGTATGTAAGGCTATTCATAATGTTAGACCAGATTTTTCTCACGACCTACAACTCAATTTGGTAAATAGCAAACTGAATCTAGGATTTTGCCCTTAATTTTACTATGAGATTGTGATACTTTATGCATTGAATTGTTGAATTGTTATTCATGATTGTAGTTCCACATTAACCCTATACATTGAGTTTTATTACAAGTATTTTGAGCCAGTAATCTTTTTTACATAGATTTTGAAAACTAAAGCGAGTTTAAGAGAAAAGTTTAAAGCATTATTTTCAAAAAAAGAGTTTAAGGCAACTTAAATGGTTTCAAATGTATCATATTTACATTGAAAAAGAAAGCACCATTTTTATAGAAGTATAAAGAGTTTTCAAATAGATAGTACAACTTCAATTACCTCTTAAAGAGGCCTTTCTAGAAATTATCTCAATCCAGAGAATACTTTTAAATGAGCACACATTTATATTTTAGGATTAGTATTGATTTCCGATTTAAGTAAGGGTTAAGATAACTCGAACTTCATAACCTACGCTGCCAACATAGATAGGATCGCACTGCAAGACGAGCGACTCCTTGCCTCAAGAAGGTTTTTTAGTAGATACATTAGTTTAGTTGCGTTCTATATTCTGGCAAGGTATAGGGAGGCATTGGCAAGTGGGTAAGACATTGTATCAACACGAGACTCATAGCTAGTGATGGTTGTCGGTTAGAGAAATAGCGCACACACACATGCACACACACTTTTCAATTTAGTTTTTGCTATATTGCATCCTTACAGTAAGAGCTTAAATGATTTTTCGTCATGACATATAATATATTTTTAGTTAAGTTACCTTTAGACTTTTAGTTAAGTTATTTATTATTCAGTTATATTACATACTCAATCATTCAATGTACTGATATCATTCGATCTTATTTTTTTATGATGCACATTCAGGTACTTAGGATCTTTAACATAGTTCTGTTGAGATCACTTCATCCGCTCATCACCTTTTAGTAAGGCCTCCTTGCGTCTGGAGGACTCCAGTTTTTATGAGTTGTTGGTAGTAGCATTTTGAGGTATCGTGGGTCTTTTCCCAACACTCATCTTACATAGTAGATGTTTTATAGATAAACAATTTCGGAGAATCTTTCGGTTTCAAAGGTTTTATTTGAAACCTATGTTTCATACTTAGTATATTCAGAGAGTTTTGAGATTCAGTAAATTATCGTTAAACGTTTCTTTCGGTTTGATACGTGTGTATGCTTGAGTTAGTCTTCCAGTTGTAGTTATCTAGGATGATTGTTCGCTTTGGGACCAGCAATGATTTTTAAGTGCCGAGCACGTCTAGGATGTAGGCTCGATAAAGATACCCTTCACAATTATGATGAGAAAAATATTAAAAAGATTTTGAGGGGCAATGATCTTTAACCATGCTCATGCATGCATTAAAACCCTCACATCACTAATACTAGAAATCCATCGTATTAGCAATACACACCTTAATACACAATAGAGTATATAACTAATAATAACATGAAAAAATGTACCAAACAAAGTATTACTGATAACAGAGTTAATACATTCATTATTTTTACTAATACACTCTACCAAACGATCCCTAAGTCTTTGTTTTATATAAATTTAATTGCTAAACTGAATATAACGAGTTAAACTAAGACACATGTATTTGACCTCATACAAATTCAACTGTATTATTTTCTAGATAGTCGAGTTAAATGTATATCCTGAATCCGACTCAATCAAATCAATTGATTAGTTAAAGCAACACCATTATTGAACACAAGCTATTTGAAAGCGATGGGAAAATATTTTAAACTAAAATGAGAAAGTCCAATTGGCCACCTTATTACAAACAATAGTTGGAAAACCAAGTTTGACTAGAATATATATATATATATATATATATATATATATATATTTTACAGACGTCTCTCTACCATTTGACAACACAGTAGATACAAAATTAATAATGTCTCAACAAAACATAGGTGGTGCAAGCTCTTCAAACGATGAAGGAGCAGCAGGTAGCAGTAGGGAACAAGACCGTTTGTTGCCTATAGCTAACGTTGGTCGCATAATGAAAAATATTCTTCCACCAAATGCAAAAATATCAAAAGAAGCAAAAGAAACAATGCAAGAATGTGTGTCTGAGTTTATTGGATTTGTGACTGGTGAAGCATCGGATAAGTGTAGAAAAGAGCGTCGGAAGACGGTCAACGGCGACGACATTTGTTGGGCTTTAGGAACATTAGGGTTTGATGATTATAGCGGAGCTTTGAAGAGATATTTACATAGATATAGAGAGAGTGAAGGTGAAAAAGTTAATCAAGAACAAGCAGGAGGAGGAGCATCAGGATCTAATCAACCAAGAAATTTGCTTGATTAATTATATATATTAGGGTTTTTATTTTCAATTATCCATTTTTACTATTCAATACAATAATCCATCATTTTCAAAGTTAATTTGATTTCTCTTTTCTTCATTTTTCTAACAAGTTTAATTTCTTTTTGTAAGATCAATTTTTCTTTTTTGGGTATGGGTTCGATTGATATTATCTAGCTCTTTACAAAAAAAAACTTGGTTTTATGATTTTTTATAAGAGATCTTTGTATTTAAATAAAAGAGATCTGGAAAAGTTATTTTCTTCTATTCAAATTGTAAGAGCGCAAGAGATCTGAATTCCTCCTCAAGTATGCCAGGTTAGTAGATTGAACTGTGTATTTGGTATGTGGAAAATACTTTTTAGGAAATTACTTTTAATTTTTCTGGTGGTCAAATATCCAAAAATATTTTACATTAAAAGGAGAAAAATGATTTTCTTCCCTTATATTCCCCCCAATTAATAATCTATATAAATGTTTTCTAAGTTTACAAAGTGTTTGATAACGAAAATATTTTCCTTCCTATCAAACACATCTATATTACTGGTTTTATTTTGTCTCGAGTTAATTCTTTTAATTTCCATGAAAATTTTCTACTCTTATATGTTATTACAATTGTTGATGAGAACTAATTTGGTCCTTGATTTAAGCTAACTTTCCCTTTCTCTTCCTTCTTGTACTGTTTGGTTTGTAGTAGGAATTAGGAAAGTGAAAGAATACAAGAGAAAAAGATTAAATCTAGTGTTTTGATATATTCACATTTCTTTTCATTTCTATCAAAATTAATCAGCATGTTATTTTCAATATTATAATGAGTCCACATATATATATCTAGATTTAATTCAATCACATAAATTATTTATCTAGGAACTTGAAAGGTCATTTTCCAAAAATACGTGAAGGAGTAGTTAAGTATGATCCTCCAAATTTGATATATAGTTGAAGATATTGGAACTTGGTTAATATTAGACTTAGATACAGATATATGAGATAGAAAGTTTAGTTAAATGAGATGTGGACCCATAGTTAGTGACTCATATACTAGTTGGAGAATTAATATATATATATATATATATATTAACATTTATGATCATGTCCTTTAAATGGATCCAAAGAAAAGAAGTTTGTATATGAGTGTGCATTTGATTTTTCGATTTTCGTTGTTATTGAAAGTCATCAAACATTGTATGTACACCAAAGTTAGCCAAACAGAACCTTATTTGCATCTTTGTAACAGTGTTGAATGGTGGAATCTACCCATAAAATTTAAAATATAATGCTTAAAAGTAAATTAATTATAGATGTCCAGCATAAAATACAAATTAAATTGTAGTGAAAGACAATAACTAAAAAGGACAAATTAAGGTGATTAACTCTAACTTAATTCTAAACCTAAATATTATACTATATATATAGTTTTGTTTTTTTCAATTTTTATTTTTTAAAATTCATAACTAAACCAACAACCAAACAAAATAAATTATTAACTCAACATAACCATAAAAACAATCCAAATTAAAATTTAATCTGATTTGATTTTTTGATTTAATTCAAATAATACAAACTCGTAAAAGTTAGATATATGTTAAGACTTCACTCATGTAGATCATAGGGTTATTAGGGTTTCCCAAATTTTATGCATTTTGGTCATGACCATTATACTATTCAACATTTTTTAATTGGAGATTGAATCAATTCTCAAGGGATTTACTCAAGGTAAATATGATGTTGATTGGAACATGAAGGAGACAAGAAGGTGGCAGACGAGCAAGTCTAGGAGTGAAAGACCAATGATAAGAGAGATAATGTTTTGTAGGAAGAGAAAGTTGGTCATTATCCTATGTATATCCAACTATGAAATAGCTAGCTAGCTACTTAGCCTACAATTGTCTCGTGAGATTTATAGAGGTGAGTTCACTTTTTGAACTATTATATATTGTCCTTTGGAATTATTCAGTTGGTTCGGAGAATGATATCCAAATGGATGATTTAATGCCTTTTGAATAAAGCATATCGCATAAGACTTATCTTATATGATTTATATATCAGTGTAATTTGTAGATGATTACACAATAAAAAAATTTATCCAATTCGTATAAAATGTTCAAAACAGAATGCTCACTCAAATTATAGACATGTTTTTTTTTATAAAAAAAGTGGCATGAATGATGAGTGGTACTAATATTGAAACTTTTATAAATTTTCACTAGTGAAACTGTAGTTATCTGTTTCATAGTAATTTTACCAACTTTAAGAGCTCAAATTTGTAATGCGCGAAGTTGAGGTACTAAGTTGGCATAAGGATGCTTTTCTAATGTTTGGGTGTTAAAAGTGTGAATGAAAAATGAAGAGTTATGACTTTCTGAAAGAGTTGCGACTTTCATGAAAGATTATGACCTTTCGAAAGATGTGGCTTTTTGAAAGGTTTGTGACCTTTACTGTTAGACACAATAGAACATTTTTACACTATGCTTCGTTTTTAAAAGTTGAGGGATTTCCTTTCATTGGTGTTGAAATTTTCTTTTCTAGACTATTTCTACTACTACTATTAAGTGTAGTATTCAAAGTGTATTTTACTATCGTTGAGTGGTTTGCTGACAACGTGAATTTAAATATTGATACATCGGTGAGTAAGATTATTCTATCCTAGGAGGACATATTCCGTTAACTTGAATACTTGAGAGGAATAATTTTCTTAAGGAGACACTGTGCATTCAATGGACTCAATTTTCTTTCTTTGAGAAAAATATTTTTATATTGTTTCTAATCAGTTTTGATTCTATTTTCTCTACTAGTCTTAATTTTCTAGTTTTGAAAATACTCTTTAAACTTTGTTGTTTCATACCAACTTCTTCAAAGTTTTGTTCTAAGTATCTCAAGAATACAAAATGAACAACAATCTTAAGCAAATTACGTACAATACTATTGGTATTTCTTGTATTCTACTGATTGAGGAAAACAAATCATGGAGGTAAAAGACTAATGCACTACTTTTCTAGAATTCGGTTCTTTGTTTAGCAAGATCAAAGTGAGAATGTACCGGAAACATTGGTGTATTTCGGTTAATTAAAGATTACAACAGGTAACCTTCTTATTATTTATCTAAGGAGTAAAATAGGTTTTAAAGGGTGACAATTTTGATATTTATCATGTGTGTCTTTGAAAAAAGTTCTGCAAATCGTACTTTAATTCACTAGTTTGCAGAATGAGATATGCATATTTTGGTTTGATAAAATAGTATGTCAAAATGTTATAGTTGGAAGATTATTTGTAAATAAAAACGTGTGATAATATAAGAATATGTTTATTCTGTTTGGAGAAAAAAAATCTTTCGTAGTTTTGTGCTCCTTGTGAATTTGATTGTGTCTGATTGTTGTAGACTAAAATTTTTTGTAATTTTCTACTCTAAATAAATTGGACTATGTAATTAGTTTAAAGAATATGAAAACTTTACCTAATAAGTTAGAATTGTACTTTTGGTTTTCTACAAACTTCATAGTTACAAAGAAACAAATTGTACAAAAATATTATCCTTATTGTTAGTATTCTAAATATTGAGTGCAATATCTAACTGTGATAAAAAATAAACAATGACTTAAAGTATGTGATTTTTGATCTGGAATAGGTGCTTCTAGGAATGAACTTTGATAAAATAAAAAGATTGTCAAACAGAATTACAACACTATAATTCTTTCGTAGAATAATATGTCCAAAAGAGGTTTCATACTGTCAATGACATTTCGATAGTCTGAAAAAAAATGTGCAAAAACTATTTTCAAATACTTGAAAAATATTTTTGAGATCATATTTAAAATTTGGAGGGTTCTTTGCCTCTGACAAAGATAAAATTAGACTTAGTGTCTAATTTAAATTTGGAGCACAATATATAAAATTCGATGATACTTTTGTACTATGTTAGACCCACAAAATTCTTAGAGTATGTATGATATTGTGGTCGTTGAGTTTCTCGTTTTACTAGTACTAGCCTGAAACTACCAAATTATATGTTTACTTGTTCAAAATGATTGTGTTCTTTTATAAAAAAGTATCACTTGAAATGTTGTGATTTTTCATGAAAAGATACATCTATTAAATACAACTATGAATATTGGTGAATAGTTAAATATCATGTTATGTAATTTTAATTATATTGTCATTGTTGCACCCGATGAAACTTTGTTTATGGATAGTTCTATTACAATCAAATTGAAAATTATGAAAAGGCCCTTTTGAAAAGGACATTTGATAATTTTGATTAGTCTAAAAAATGTTTGTATCACACAAAATTGTAAGAAATAGGAACAAATATTTGTGAGAAAAAGCTACCTCGCGGAGAGCTTTTCAAACTCAATATTTTTATTTGTTCTTACTTGCTTGAGTCAAACTGTTTGTGATATGAACACTTGGGACATGTCAATTACAAAAGTTTGTAAGAAAAATTGGTCAACTTAGAAGTTTCGTCTAACTTTAAGTGCAATAAACAAAAATGTCAAGTTTGTGTGAAATCTAAGTATGCTGGGCATTCTTATAAATCTGTTAAGAAGAATTTTAATCTGGTAGAATTGAATTACACTGACAATTGTGATATGAATTTAACACCATCTCGTGGTGAAAAAAATATCTCGTAACTTTAGTTGACAATTGCATTAGAAACGACTATGTCTATTTGCTGAATGGTAAGGATGAAACAATAGAAACGTCTAGACAATATAATATTGAAGTTGAAAATTAGTTGAGAAAAAGATAAGAAGTGATAGGGATGGAGAGTATAAATCTCATTTTGCAGAGATATGTTTGAAAAGTGAAATTACCCATCAAACTGCTGCCCTATTCACTTCAATCTAATGAGGGAAAAAATCGAACTTTGAAGGAAATGATGGTTGCATTACTTATAAGTTTAAGTTTATCACAAAATTTGTGTGGAGCAACTATCCTTACTGCAAAAGGGAACAACAAAAAGTTATTTTTTCATAAATAAAGCAATAGAAAGTTTTGTTAGTTCAGGGCACAATCTATGCTATATGAGAAATGAAAAGGAAGGAAATCTAACTTGAAATATTTCAAAGTATAGGGTGTCTAGCCAAAGTCTAAGTTCCTATTCTTAAAAGGATTAAAATAGGACCTAAGACTGTGGACCGTAAAATTAGAGTTAAGTAGTCTAGTGAAAGGTTTAAACCTTCTTGTAAAGAACAAAATGAGAATATAGTTGATAAAGAGATTCAGAGGCATAGTAAATGTCAAATGACATCTACTTCCTTTGAATATGATTTTGTAACATTTCTTGTGTCTTTTGTAGACTCATCTTTTAGGACAAGTGGTTTCAATAGTGAGATTTGTTCAATCTTGAGCAATCCTATTGGGAGTTGGTTGATCTTTCTCCAGAAAATAAATTTTTGGGTTTAAAGTGAATCATAAAAAGGAATATAAAAGTCGATGAAATTGTTGATAAATATAAAGCAAGACAAAAACAATGTCTTCATCTTTTCGATACATACTCACCAGTAAGTAGAATTACATTCCTTTGATGTTAATTGTGTTAGTTGGGGTATATGACCTCCAAATTCATCGAATGAATATGAAAACAACTCTTAAATGGAGAATTGGAGAATTTTTTTTTACATAGAACAGTCTGAGTGTTTTGTGATTCCTTGTTACATAGAAAAGTGTGTTAACTTGTTACATTATGAACTAAAACAAACACCCAAACAATGACATAAGAAATTTGACCAACTATATTGATA